GATGAATTATTATTCCAAAGTGGTGGTGTTAGAAGGAGAGATAGTGGTGGATAGGGATGACTTAAGATCGAGCGGTTCCTTCTAACATAAAACATTGCGTCTGTTCCTAATGATGGAGTGAGTGCGGTCTCATAATCACTTGCAATGTGACTAAGGAGATGATTCTAAAGTATGTTTGATCCAGCCACAAAAGCTGAGAAAATGAAAGTTTAATATGGAAACAAAATATAAGAAGGTGAGGCAAAGAAAAGAATTCCAGTTAATTCCTCCTTTTCTGGTTGTTATGAATGACAATTCGGCAGTTTGTGTTGTTTAGCTTTGACTTGATGTTGCAATTGCATAACGTGTGTTCATATCAACCGCAACAGTTCAACCTCATCATGTCCTATTAGTCGCTGCAGATCAAAGGGATCTTTTCTTTTTCCTACTTTGCCGAATCAGATGTTCTTTTATTCCTTAATGCTTCCCCTAGGCAGTAGCTACCATTGAATGCCAATGTTCTTGCAAGACAAACATCTTCTCTCTGTCATGTCTATTTCTTAGAATAGCCAACGGAGGCCACTTTCTAGACGATTTGTCAATGGAAAGTGCTTGTGAAAATATATAAAGTCCTAAAATTAGTAATAGCCCAAGGCCGAAATCTAACAACAAGCTAAAAATAGTATAGGCCCAAGTCCTAAACGGGGCAATAAGCCCTTGGATATTAGAACACTGTCCTTTCCAGAAAGCCCCACTTTGTGAAAGCATGCCGCCAAGGTTTAAGGGTGCGTTTGATTCACGGAATGTAAGATTACCAGTGGGAATGTAAGATTACCATGGAATAGAATTACTGGGAATGTTGTATTTTGTGTTTGGTTGGTTTAACATGAATGCAAGATTACAGTGTTTGATTAAAGGAATAAAAGATTATTGGAATGTATATTTAACCAAATTGTCCTTATTATATATTTGTTTTTTAACAAGTTGGAAAATATTTATATATTTTCTTTTAAAAAATTAAATTCATAAAATTTATATATATTTTTTTTATAAAATTGAAAATATAAAAAGGTTTAATGAAAGGGTAAAATTTTATTTTAACCACTGAACTTCATATAAAATTTTAATTATAGACTTTTTTATAAATCTAAAATAGTTTAAGGATAAATATGTAATTTAACCTTCGTAGAATTTTTATTATTCAATGACAGAAAAAGAAAAATTTTGAAAAGGAAAAAAAATTAAGGGCATTTTAGTCTAAAACGCTGGTAATCCAACAATACATAAGGAAATGAAGGTAATGACATTCCCGGTAATATACCCCAAAAAATCTACTATTGGTAATAAAACATTACCGGGAATGAGATTCCCGGCCAACCAAATATGTGAATGTAGATTCTATTCCCATGGGAATCCCACATTCCTTGATCCAAACACCCCCTAAGGGTGTGTTTGGTTGGGGGAATGTGAGATTCTCATGGGAATAGAATCCACATTCCCCCGTTTGGTTGGCCGGAAATGTCATTCCCGATAATCTTACATTATCAATAGTAGATTTTTTAAGTATATTACCGGGAATGTCATTACCTCCCTTTCCTTAGGTATTGTTGGATTACCGACGTTTTGAACTAAAATGCCATTAAATTTTTCTTCTTCAAAAATATCCTTATTCTGTCATTGAATAATAAAAATTCTACGAATGTTAAATTATAAATTTATCCTTAAACTATTTTAGATTTACAAAAAAAGTCTATAATTAAAATTTTATATAAAGTTCAGTGGTTAAAATAAAATTTTACCCTTTCATTAAACCTTTTTATATTTACAATTTTATAAAAAATATATATATAAAAATTTTATGAATTTAATTTTTTAAAAGAAAATATATAAATATTTTTCAACTTGTTGAAAAAACAAATATATAATAAGGATAATTTGATCAAATATACATTTCAAAAAAAAATTAGCTGACCATATTCTCATATGTAATGGGGTGAGGGAGAGGTAAGGTAGTAGGCTGCCCCTAACGTCAGGTTGAGAGCAGCCTCCGTGGAAGACCTCCGGCAGTCAGAATTATGAATTGCTCACCATGGGACTCGATCCCACGACCACAAGGTTAAGAGCCTTACGCTCTACCAACTGAGCTGGACGGGCAATTCATCAAATATGCATTTCAATCATCTTTTATTCTTTTAACCAAACACGGTAATCTTATATTCCTGCTAAACCAACCAAACACAAAATACAACATTTCTATTCTCTGATACTAGTAATTCTATTCTCTGATAATCATTTATTCCCACTGATAATCTTACATTATGTAAACCAAACGCACCCTTAAGAAGAAAGACTAGCTTTCATTTACCCCACTATTGTTTTGGTGCTTTCATTTACCCCACTATTGTTTTGGTGTTATATTAATAGTGTGCGTATAATCCGCTACCACAACACTTTACCCTATGGGCCGGTTGTGCTCCCAACCAACACACTAGATTCAGTCATTCTATTCTAATTTCATCATTTTTAATTCATGTATTTTTTTTAATTTTAAAAGTCTGATTATAACTCGAACATACTTGTAAAATGTGTTAAGTCTAATCCTGCTATTTTTATGACTTTTTTTTTTATGAGGTTTGCTCCAATATTGAGCATGCATAGGTGAGTTAACGGCGTCACAATTTATGATTTGAGATATTCGGTTTAAAGGCTTAATATAAAAGTAAGTGGTAAAGCTATACCGTTTTTTCTAACTTAACGTATATATTTTTTCGATTAATTCAAATCTTTAATATTATAAATGTTATATTCATATAATTTTAAAAATTTATTTTTTTAAAAAAATAAAAAAGATTATTTTATATTTAAAAAATCCTAAATTTTTCTTAAATTATAAAAAGTCCTAAATCCCTAAAAATCCTCAAAATCAATCTCAAGTCCCTAATAATAGTTCCTACCTTGACAGCCACAACCGATGCCACCGACGCTGCCTCCCTTTCCGGCCGATGTGGTCCTGTGATTGAACGGTGCTTTGCCATTGCCAATAGACAACGTAGAGATATATATACCTGTGTGTGTATATATAAACATACACTTGACTAAAAGCATAAACACATGAGATTCCATGATTTAACATGATTTTAAGCGTATTGAGAAATGGAGGCAAAACAAAAAATCATAGATTCCAATAGATTCCTCGACGGGTAGGAGCTATCTTGAAACGAGAAGGTGTGGGTAGCCATCTGCCTGGCCTTGTGATTAGTGAAGCAACCCACCAGTTTTTGTCCAGTATATTCTTCTTTTATTTCCTCTTTAACCTCAGTTTTGTAATCAGGCTCGGATGATAACGGTGCCCACCACCGGCGGTTAGGATTGGGTTTTGGGGGATCAGGAACAGCACAAGCGATGGGTAGACATTGAGAAGCCAAAACTGGTAGCAAGTTTTTAATTGTTTAACCATGGGTATTGAAACACGCATGCATGGGTGCGAGTTAGCTAAGAGACCAGTCAAATTGTGAGAATATAATACAAAGTGAGAATGGAGAAATGGACATATATATGAGAAAAGGTAGGTTTTCCTTTATTAGGCAGCTGAGCTTTACCGTCTAATGCATTGGTGAAAGAAGATGGTACTGTGTAGAGGAAGATAAGAATTTCTATGGTAGGGTATCGATAAACACAAATGGTTAGAAAACTATCGCATCTAGCATTTAAATTATAATTAATGAATGTATCTCAAGATAGAGTTGAAGTTCATTAAATGACACATGGCAAATTGCAGGGGAGACCACGCATTTTTGAAATCTGGCATCAACACAATGGTGAAAGCCAGATGACATTACGCATGGCGACGTGCAAGCCAAGGTTGACTGAAGTTGGTTTCCAGATAGTAGGTCTGGTCCACACCATAACTTAAAGAATAAATAAATTAATAAGCCTTCAGAGCTCCACACCACCGTTAGTCGATAGTGGAGCAGTGAAACATCTCGAATATTAGGTGTACGTACTCTATTATTCTCTCTCTCTAAACTTAGCTAAAACTCTTACCTTTTTCTTTCATTACCAGAGCCTTCTATAATTTAGCATTCTGTATAACTAAGAAGAGAATCCAACAACTATAAGAATCTTAAAAGTAGTCTGAATGTTTCTTTATTAACGAATTTGTACCTCTGGAGATAATATATATATATCCTTAATTATTAAATTCATTTGATTCGTATTAAAAAAAATAAGATACGGAAGCACACATTCATTACATTACCAAAATTATATGAGCACGTTTTCCTCCCTTCCCAACGAACAAGTCTTTTCTTTATTTCTTACATATTGATGTTTTCAAGCCACCTTTTACACGTGAAAATGGAAGTCAAATATTTCCAGAAAAAAAAAGGTAAACCAATTTCATTCGCATTAGTCCCCTAAATCATCAACAATGTCATTCGCACGTGACATTATATTTTAATGTAAATTATGTAAATGATCATTAAACTATGCATATGATTCTTTTTCAGTCATTTAATTATAAAACATTATGCTAAATATAATTTATATCATCGACTTATTATATTTTAATAACTCTTCCAATATAATTTAAAGTCACATTGGAGATTAATTTTTAAGTTAATTTGTCACATTATTATTTCATTGAAGAGTTAACGATGATTAATAAAGATTTTATCAAAATATTATAAGTTGATAAGATAATTATAATATAACATCTCATAATTAGATGACCTCAAGAGAAACTTATATATAATTTTAGTGATTATTTGTCTAATTTACCCTTTTTTAAAATAAAAAAAAAGTAATATATCATGTACTTTAAATAAATATATATTTATTAGTGGAAAGGAAAGTGGGATAGGCCTTCCAATGTAGCATTCAAAACAAGGCGTCTCTGTCTATGAATGGTCAAAAAGGTGTATGGCACTTGCATTGATTTGATGTCCTTTAAATTTGGGTGTGATGGCCTCATGGGACCAAGGTAGCATTATTAGGGGACTTTGAAGGAAACAGGCAAGGCTTTAGAGCTAATATATATTAGTATTACATGAAGGGAAGAAGAGCGAGCATCTCCAAAGGAAGAATAAGCTGAGAGAGGATTTTCAAGATATGGTTCGGGGGTCAGTACTGTGTGGGCAAGAAGATGAGATAGAGCAACTGTCAAGAGAGAGTAGTCAGTACAGTCTATCCACTGGGATACTTCCTTCGCTTGGAGGCAGGAGTATCCGTAGAATCAAGCTCAGAAGCTATATCATTTCTCCTTATGATCGTCGTTACAGGTCCATATAAACAAAGTACCCCATGCTTTTTTTTTTGGCTTGTTTCTCAACTCAAGTGTCCATCATGTAGGTCATCAAATGTTATATGCTTTTGCTTTTCATCTAGGAGTGTATTGGGAAAACCAGTGCATTGAATCTCGTGAGCTTGTGTTTTTGGAAAACTTGTCCTTTGTTTGCTTTTTATTTTCTTCTGGTTTTACAGTTTTGAAATTTCTTACCTATAATATTATATGCTTTTGCTTTTTCGACCGAAAAGAATGATCGGTGATCAAAGTTGAGGGCTTGATGTGTCCATCCATATCTTTAGTGGCTTTCCTTTTTCCACCTTTTCAAATTGAATCCGTGTTCCAATTGGAGTTGTTTTGTCATTACTTGATGCCTGTGAAATTTCAAAGGAATAATTAGATTGATCCTTGCAGGATATGGGAGACTTTCCTGGTTCTTCTGGTCATCTACACTGCTTGGGTTTCACCCTTTGAATTCGGGTTCCTGGAGAAACCAGATACACCACTCGCTGTTACTGATAACGTTGTTAATGGATTCTTTGCCCTGGATATCATTCTCACTTTCTTTGTTGCATACCTCGATAAAGCTACCTATCTCCTCATCGATGACCCGAAAAGGATTGCTTGGAAGTATGGCAGTTCCTGGTTGGTTCTAGACATTATATCCACGATACCATCCGAACTTGCTCGGAAGATTTCCCCTAGGCCATTACGCTCGTATGGCCTATTCAACATGCTTCGCCTTTGGCGTCTTCGCAGAGTTAGTGCCTTGTTTTCAAGGTAAAAGAGCTTTTTCACTTGTTGAACTTTGTTTATTGTCTGGACTTGTTTGACGTGAGGTACTGTTTGTTTCGACAGATTGGAGAAAGACAAGAACTACAACTACTTTTGGGTTCGATGTGCCAAACTTATTTGTGTGAGTACAACAGAAAAATGAATTGGGAGATGTTATCTGAAATGTTCATGGCACTTATGGAGCTTTGGATGGTTTTTGTAGGTTACCCTTTTTGCTGTTCATTGTGCTGGATGCTTCTATTATCGTATTGCTGCAAAATATCATGATCCTGGAAGAACATGGCTTTCAGATTCTATGGGAAACAATTTCCACGAACAGAGCCTTTCTATTCGGTACGTGACATCCATATACTGGTCTATCACTACACTCACTACTGTTGGCTATGGGGATTTGCATCCCGTGAATACTCAAGAGATGATATTCGACACTTTCTACATGCTCTTCAACCTCGGATTGACTGCGTATTTGATCGGGAACATGACAAACTTGGTTGTCCATGGAACTAGCAGAACTAGAATATTCGTGAGTGATTCTTATAGTTTATCTGGTTCGCATTCGCACCAGCTTGTGTTCATCTTTGATAATCTTTCGTGTTTTTGGACTCTCAGAGGGATACGATTCAAGCTGCTTCAAGCTTTGCTAAGAGAAACCAACTGCCACCTCGCCTGCAAGATCAGATGCTTGCACATTTATGTCTTAAGTACCGGACCGATTCTGAGGGGCTGCAGCATCAAGAGACGCTCAATTCCCTTCCCAAAGCCATCCGATCGAGCATTTCACATTATCTTTTCTACTCTCTCATGGATAATGTGTATCTGTTTCGTGGGGTTTCTAATGACTTGCTGTTTCAGCTGGTAATCCACTGCGAACTTGCTAAGCTTTTGTACTAAAATGTATGTGGAACATTTTATATATATCTTCGTAATTAAATGTTGAAGGTCTCAGAAATGAAAGCTGAGTATTTTCCTCCAAGGGAAGATGTCATCCTACAGAATGAAGCACCTACAGATTTCTACATCCTTGTCACTGGCTCTGTGGTAGAATATAGAACACTCTTTCTTGTCTTGTCCGAAATTTTGGTATCTGGTTTCAATTTAAAATTTCTCTTTAAAAATGGACACTGATGTTTTGTTTTGCTTGTCAGGAGCTATTGGTCCGAAAAAATGGAGTTGATCATGTAAGTTGTATCAATCAATTCAATAACCATGAATCGGCTCTAACCGAGTTAACACCTTCTGTTTTTCAGGTTGTTGGAGAGGCTAAAGCAGGTGATCTTTGTGGTGAAATTGGAGTACTTTGTTATAGGCCGCAGCTCTTCACGGTTCGTACGAAGCGACTATGCCAACTACTACGACTAAACCGTACTACGTTCCTTAATATTGTTCAGGCCAATGTCGGAGATGGGACCATAATCATGAACAATCTTCTCCAGGTATGCATGTTGTACTTCACAAGGTAGCCCTTTGCCTAACGTAATCCAATCCTTTTAATCATGGAATTCTTTTTGGAGCAGCATTTGAAAGACATGGATGATCCAGTTATGGAAGGGATTTTAACAGAGACGATGAACATGCTCGCTCGTGGAAGAACGGATCTGCCTCTCAATCTTTGCTCTGCCGCACTCAGGGGAGATGACTACTTGTTGCATCAGCTATTGAAAGAGGGACACGATGCTAACGAGTCTGACAACAATGGAAGAACACCTCTGGTTTGTGAATTTCTTCAGCTTTTGGTTTTGTTAAGACCCCAAAGTACAAAGTACTGTGGTGCTAATCTTTTAAGTTCTTTATTGTGATTGTTTTCGATAAAATCAGCATATAGCTGCGTCCAAAGGAAGCGAAAACTGCGTTCTTCTCTTACTAGATTACCGCGCTGATCCTAATTGTAAAGGTATTAATCCTACCAATTTTGCTTAAAGCAGTTGATCTTAATTTTCTTTAACTGGAGCCAATTCTTATAGTTTTTATTGGCTCATTACTATATTTGGCAGACTCAGAAGGAAGTGTACCACTTTGGGAGGCAATAGTAGGTGGCCATGACCAATTAGCCCATCTTCTAAAGGAAAATGGGGCAAACATCAATGCCGGAGATGTTGATCAGTTTGCATGCACCGCAGCCGAGCAGAACAACTTGAACTTACTCAAAGAAATCATTAGTTACGGCGGAGATGTCACACTTCCTAGGTCCAATGGTTACACAGCTCTTCACGTTGCAGTATGCGAAGGCAACGTTGAAATAGTGAAGTTCCTGTTGGAACAAGGTGCCGATATCGATAAGCCTGATTTCCAAGGTTGGACACCAAGGGACCTAGCTGAGCAGCAAGGGCACGAAGAAATACAGACAATATTCGAATCAGCGAGTAAAAAGAAGAAAACTCCGCCTATCAAATCGATTCCAGAGAAGCAGGAGACACGCTTCCTTGGGAGGTTTACAAGTGAGCCAATCATCACTACTGCAGACGGTACGGATGGATCTTCTAGAGGTCAATCCCGTCCGAGGCGTACAACTAGTAGCTTCCACAACTCTCTGTTCGGAATAATGTCGGCTAAACAAAATGTGGAGAAAGATTTAGTATTACCAGTTCATCAACCAAAGGGTGTGAAGGATGATCGTGCAACTAACTCAGCTAGAGTGGTGATTAGTTGCCCTGAAAAGGGAGAGACCATTGGAAAGCTTGTTTTGCTTCCAGGGAGCTTTGAGGAATTGCTTGAGATTGGTGCTAAGAAATTTGGGATATTTGGTGGTAAAGTGATGAACAAAGGAGGAGGTGAAATTGATGATATGGAGGTGATTAGAGATGGCGACCATCTGGTTTTTGTGAGCGATGGTCAATTGCAACAAGAGATTAACACCCAATCTCAATTCAATAAGTCTTCTTAGAGCTTAGGCTATTGCATGTATAGGTACATATTTCCTGGTATCTTGTCAGTACCATCCACAGCTCACAGTGTACTGCTCACAGTGTCAATTGCAATCATATGGAACCAGCTCTCATACATGAAGGTAATTGCAGATATTACTCCTTACATTTCTACTACCATGCTTGCTTTTCAGTTCCTTGGATATAGCCTTCCACTGCTCTGCGGTGGCAAAGTCGCGGTGGCAAAGTCATACTGAAATCAATGGAACTCCAAGCTTACAATGCATTGCCTAGTGATCAACCTGCGTATGGAATGTTGAAATTCCTACAAAGTTTCGAAAGGGCTCTTTTGCTGGTTGTCATACTTCTTACTGCAAGACTTCATTGTGGTAACAGAACCTAGAAGCAAGACGCTCTCCCTAGGATCCTCTAAGCTAAGATACGATTCTAGAGAGAAAAGGGTTATGTTGAGTACCATGGCTTATTTGGCTTGTTGCTGGATGTAATCCTGATGTACACGTACAACAACTAAATCCTGAAAAGGACATGCATGAACCAAGAAATGAGCAGCAAATGTGGCAAACTCGGATGGGTGTAATGGAGGTTTTTGTTTATTTTGTTCAAAACTACCTTCTGCTTCCTCAGATTATTAGCAATGGGTTGATGAAAATGCCTGGTAAATCCTTAAAGGAAGCCTATTACCTTAAAATGACTTTGGTAAGGCTGCTTGTGTTGTGCTCTTTTTTGAACTACGTAGCGGATCCTGTTATAAATGCCAAAGTTGAAAGATTTGAAGTCTCAGAGTTCAAACTCAACATATCTAATGCTTCCCAAGGTTCTCGTCCGATAACGATGATTATGTGTGCAGCTAGAGTCTACATCCCACATAACTGGAAACACAAGAAGCACAATTAGTCTCCAAATTAAGCAGGGATCTGTAGTTTGCGTTATTAAAGCATCATAATATCATCGTCCTGTTTCCTAGTTTCATGTCAGAATCATAATGGTTGAAATACAACCAGAATTGTTGTCTCTCTCTTTGTTTCAGTTTCAATCAGATGATATATAATTTACCTTTCTCAACAGCGTAAAATTCGTAAAATATCGAGAGAACCAACATCACGAAAACGGGGGAGGCCACTTCCGTTGCTAATAACTTTCCAGATGGTTGATGCTTTAAATATGTCTTCTCCAAAGCCTTGTTTTGAAATATGAAGCCACGTGTAGAGAGGGTTGCATAGTATTTATTAGGAAGGGGCATGGTAAGATTTTTTGTTCACCCGACTCGAGATCAAAGAATCATCCACCCGAGACTCAACGTTATTCGACTAAAATAAGATTTCATACGACCCGAATCTGACTCGATGTATAATTTAAAAATCCGACTTGACTCGACCCGAAATAATAATAAAAAATATTATTTTCATTCAAAAAAATAATGACTTGATTGAAAAAATAATATTTAGAGGGGTATTATTGTAATTATACTTAAATATATATGGTAAAATTATAAATTTTTTCGGGTCAGATCAGGTATTTTCATCCTAAACCTGAATCTGACCCGGCCTTAAAATTTTTTAAAATAATTCGATCCGATCAAGTTAGGTTCGGATTCCATGTCCATCTCTACCATTTCTCTCTTCGGATATAAAAGACCTTGCCACTTTTTTAGTCTTGCTTTATCAGCGACTTGGTGTATTTTTCTATCTTCCAGATGCTTTGATATTAGGAAAAGAGATGTTGACTTCCGGTATTATCGCTTACCAAGAACATGGCCATGTATTATATTCGATCTTGCAATCATACAAGAGATTCTTCTGTCCAGAAGCCACGTGTAGAGACGGTTGCATGGTATTTCTCTCTTCTGATATAACAGAACTTGCCACTTTTTTAGTCTTGTTTTATCAGCGACTTGGAGTATTTTTCTATCTTCCAGATGCTTTGATATTAGGAAAGAGATGTTGACTTCAGGTATTGTCGCTTACCAAGAACATGGCCATGTATTATATTCGATCTTGGAATCATACAAGAGATTCTTCTGTCCATTTGAACCTTCGTTTGAGTTGCATTCACTGGTATCTTGTCAGCACCACCCACGGGTGATGCTTTACTAAATTTGTTCCATCATTTGGACTTTGGCACTACTTTAAGAATACCCTAAACTAAGTTACGGAGTATACTGGCTAGCTCCTCAGTCTTATCAACCTTCCAGCAATGAAGTTCCAATTCTTTGTTCTTGTTCTGTGTATATTGGCAGAGTTGCCTTTGCTAATAACTGCCTTTATAGAACCTTATGAAATGTACCGGACTCAGCCTGATTCTTCATTGGTCTTTGCGTACAACCGGTCCACTGATATTCAAAAGCATTGCAGTTCTTTTCTAGCCTCAGCATCTGCACTAAAACCAGATGATAACATGGGAAGTAGGCTCAAGAATGAACTCTCCTTTTATCTCGGAGATTGGGACCAGGAAACTGATGATGCACCATTGATACAATTCGATGACGATGGTGCCGTCGATGCAACTTCCTTACTCAAGTTGGCATCCTTTGAAGTAAAGGATGTCAATTCTATCCAGCAACTTAACAACACTGTAAGCCTCGGAGGGGTTCTATCTTTAGGCATATCCAAGGATAGTTCATTCGCTTACAATGTCGGCCTAGAATCCAGGATGAATCCAGGTTCATCTGTCGTGAACATTGTTTTCGAAGGGGTTTATATGGAGACACAGGAGAATGGAGGTGAACGTTTGATGTGTTTTGTAGGAAGTTCATCTTCATCTTTACCTTCTACAGAAACATGTGACTGCGACGAGATCTCGGAGCTTCGAACTAGCCGTGTTCCTATATGCTTTAAACGCCGTCGTTTTGGTTTCTTACAAGATGATCATGTTTTGCTTGTTCTACGCTATCCTAAAGTCTTCAATTTGACCCAAAGAGCAATCCAGGGAGAAATGATAAGTCTAAATAAACAAGGAGAGACAAGGTACTTCAGTAAAGTCAATATCTCATCTCATTTGAGTGGCAACTCGATATACGAATTTAGTTCAGAATTGATCCGCTCTACAACTTTTGATCCACCCCCTTTCCAAGATGATTTTTTGGAAGATGGTTTCCAGATGTTTACTGCTAGAGAATTCTGTCAAGTGCTTTACCATTCTTCCGGTGAATCTTTAAGTACTGCTCCAAATTACAGGTTCAACAACAGCTATAAGAACCAGATCCATGAAAAAATAGGCCCTTTCATGCTCCAGAAGGAGATGCAGGCTGCTGATGGTTCGAGTTTTGACAATGTAAAGCTCATTTTTCAACATGTCAAATGCGAGCAAGATACTAACAGAACCGGCATTGCAAAGGTTTCTGCAGTGCTGAGAGCATTTAACAAAGGAAGCTTTCAACATTTCGAAAGATTAAGAACTGGTCTTTCGGGGTTGACTTTAGCTGCTGAGGGTATATGGAATTCTTCTTCTGGACAGCTTTTCATGGTTGGATGCCAAGGGACGGTCGAATCGGGGTTTGAAGGATGTGATTACGTGATTGCAATGTACTCTCCACGTTCATTTTCCATTAAGCAGAGAAGCTCCTTGTTTGGAGCCATATCCAACGTGAAAAAGGATATAGCTTTGGACAATCCTTTATATTTTAATGCAATAAAAGGCATTGGCAGCAGAGATATCATGGAATATTTACCTTACAATTATTCCAAAATCAACTTGGTCAATGCGTTTGAGAGTAGAACTCTACCTTATCAAATTCTAAACATTGTCAAACAGTGGCTCTTCCAGTATCCGGCTCTGAAAGATGCAGGAGAACCGCTTACTCAGTTGAGCCAGTTGACCAATAATCTTGCTTTAGATGGCTATGTAGTCCCAGATGATCAGCAAATTGCTAGGCCAAAATCTCGAGTCCTCATTCAGCTCGAGTTGTTTACTTTAGGTCCATTATATGGATGGTCTGAACCCAATTTGATGAAGGGAAATCTCAGAAAGAAACCAGTCATTACAAAAGATGATCTCACAAGCTGCCGGTTCTTGAATGTGTCGGTGCATCTCACATTCAAAACCGAGAAAGAATACAAGCAAACAACTTACAAAAATGTCTCAGAATTGTCCCTGGAAGGTCTATATGACCCTATTTTTGGTGAGATGCATTTGATTGCATGTAGGAAGGCTTTGGTTGCGAGTATCGGCTTAGAACGAGGCCAAGATTGTCTTATAACAGTTAAAATTCAGTACCCGCCTGTAAACTTACAATGGTGGCAAAAACCAATTGTCAAGATCACCATCAGAAGCCAAAGGAAAGAAGATGATCCCCTCTACTTTAGCTTGATTACCATTCGTACTCGTTTGGCTAATTATCCAGATTATTTTGAAGCAATTGCTGATCGAGCATACTTGGAGGCAATTGTAGGCATTCTACTGCTCACAGTGTTGATTGCTCTCACACGGAACCAGCTCTCATACATGAAGGTAAATGCAGATATTGTTCCTTACATTTCTACTACCATGCTTGCTTTTCAGTTCCTTGGATATAGCCTTCCACTCATATTTGGAACCAAAGTCGTATTGAAAACAATGGAACCCAAAGCTTACAACTCAATTCCTCCAAATCATCGTGCATACGGAATGTTGAAACTTGTTCAAAGTTTCGAGAAGGCTCTTTTGCTGGTTGTCATACTACTTACTGCAAGACTTTTCTGTATGGTAAGGGACTCTAGAAGCAAGACCCTCTCTCAAGGGTCCTCTAGACAAAGATGTGGTTCAAGAGAGAAAAGGGTCATGCTGAGTACCATGGCTATATACGCTTTCGGATTTCTGATTTGGTTTGTTGCTGGTTATTATCCTGATGTACATCAGCTAAATCCCGAAAAGGACAGACATGGACCGAGAAATGGGCAAATGTGGGAAACTCAGATGGATGTAATGACGAATTTTGTTTACTTTGTTCAAGACTACTTTCTGCTTCCTCAGATTATTAGCAATGGATTGATGGAAATGCCTGGTAAATCCTTGAAGCAAACCTATTACCTCGGATTGACATCAGTAAGGCTGGTTGTGATCTTCTTTGACTATGTAATGGATCCTATTACACATGCCAAAGTGGAAGATATTGATGTCGACTCGAGTTCAAACTCGGCACATCTAACGCTCACCATGGTTCTTGGTCCGATAACCATGATTATGTGTGCAATTAGAGTCTACATCCAGCAGAACTGGAAACACCAGAAACATAGTTAGTCTTCAGATAAAACAGATGCTTGTACTCTGTAGTTTACATTATTAAAGCATTTTGATGTTATCCAATGTGGTATTGTTCTCTAAATCCATGTTGGAATCAATACCTGCAAAACACAAGTGTTGTTGCCGTCTTTGCTTCGGGTTCAATTAGATTATGTGATTTTGATAGAAATGATTATCCACGTAATAATCAATGTGTATTTCATTATTTACCTGACATATTATGAAATTATTTTAGAATATATATTTAAAAAAAATTAATTTATTGTATAATATCATAAAATGGTGTATGTTGCCACACTAATAAATTAATGTCATGATTAACTGTTAAACGAGTAGCATGTGAAAATCAAATCCTCTGACCTATGTAAAAACAATTTCAATGTTATATATTATCGTATGAAAATAAACCCTAGAAAACGAGATATATATAAATGGATGTCCCTTTTTTCCCATATGTATGGGGTAAGGGGGAGGTAAGATAGTAGGCTACCCCCAACACCAGGTTGAGAGCAGCTTCCGTAAGAGACCTCCGAATTATGAAAATGCCCTCCGTAAGACTCGATCCCACGACCTCAAGATTAAGAATCTTGTGCTCTACCAACTGAGCTAGATGGTCATTTCAGAAAACGAGATATATATATATATTAAAAAAAACAAAGTTGGAGACAATCCTTGCTCTCCACCCCCAAACCCAAATCAAGTGCATCACTAAGTATTTTTCGCCCTATATTTTTCCTTGTTTATTTCTATACAGGGATTTAAATTAAAGTTGCGCTTATGTTTTCAGATATGTTACGTTTATTATAATTGAGGACATAACATATATTATTACGATTATTGTGGGTATAAAGGATTTAAAGTGCATTACTAAGTGTCATGAAATTTATTTCAATGTTATGCCGTATCAAGTTACATAATCATGAAAATTTAAAAATCAAATCAACCAAATTAATCGTCTTATATAAATTATTTTTATTATTTCAAATATATTTATGACATATAATAAAAAATGATTATATAAATAATAATTTAATTATTTAAAACATAAGCTAATTAACCGACTTAACTAACCATCTTTTAGGTCATTTGGTCAGTTTAAGCTATCCAATTTGAGAGATTATTTCAACGAGTAATTATCGTTCTTATTTGGTTAGTTCAGGCTTGATAAGTTTTCGCCCAAGTAATGATCATTCAAAGATGGACGTTTAGAGCCGACGTAGCTTTGGTTTTGTTGGTAGCGTTGATGTTTGAGAATCGAGATGAAAGGTGGGAAATCCATTGAAAAATGAAATTCCTAAATTACACCGTAGTAGCCAATACAAAAGTTATTCCATTCCACATGGCTGTCAATTTTCTAAACCTCGGAAGACCATCTCCACAGGACCAAGCCGGCCGGCCGACCAGTCAGTGTACAGTTGGCCGACAACACATGAAAAAGAGATTGAGGCAATAACTAATTACAACCCTTATTTTATTATTATTTTTCAAGACGAATCAAAGGAATATACATACATACATATATATATATATAAAGAAGAAACATATAGATATAGATATAGATATATCCATTATATCCATAGAAGACGATATTAGATTCTACATTAATCATTGTGACACACAGCTACGGGATTAGTGCCCCCTCTCCTCCAGTCGCAGATTGAGAACTTTTGTGATTTTTCTATGCGCTTTCTGCTGGAATTTGACCCACACCGCCAAAACTTTTGGCATACTTGGGCCTCCACTGAGTCCTCCCTCTCACGATCTCCGACCCTTCCTCGAGCCGGAGCAAGTGCTGGCACTCTATTTCACCCGCTTTCGCCAAGTCCCCCACACCAGAGTCCGACACAGTTGTTAGTGACCGCAGCACGCTGTCCCTTCCACACTCCCTCCTATACTCCAGTGTCATGGAAGAAAGCTCGTGACTCTCCAACACTGCCAATGGAGCACTCTGCAACCGGTAAATATTACATTGCCGTTAAATCGCATGGTATTGAAAAGAAAATTAGTGTAGCGTTCACTGGATTAAGTCTACCTCGAGGATCCAGCCAATGTACTTCACATTATTGACATGCTGGTTGACATCCAAGTCACTCCATCTAGGCTGCAAATTAAAAATAAACTGAGTAAGAATGCAAAAGGTGAAACACTTATGAGTGCCATCAGAAGGGTATCAAGGACTTACAGTTAAACCTTTACGCACAAATTCAGCCGTGCTCACATCGAGTTTCACTAATTTCCGGCTATCTTCGGCCACAACAGGATCAGAGTTTATAAAAAAGGGTTCTATTTCTCCTCGGACCTCTTCTGGAATTTTAGATAGCCTTCGAGTCACCTTATTCATCATCACCCACACACTGCATATCACCAAAACCAGAATCCAATCACAGGGAACCCAGGTAAGTCTGTATTGAATCACAATTCGATAATGTGAGATGAATAAGTGGAACAGACTATCACGGAAGAATACAATTGAATGCTCTACCTCGTGGCTCTTGTTAAAATTTCACCAGTTTTATTATCACTGACCAACCAATCCCTTCGCATGCCATTCTTTCCCGATGCACTGACCCAAGTGTCTACTTGAACAACATCACCCCTGCAAGATAGACATAAATAAATCCAAGTGAAAAATAAAGCATCATGTTGACACGCGTATAAAACAATAAACACATGAGAACAGTATAAGTGGTCATATCATGAATGGTTGCTATAAGAGCAAATCATGGGCAAGAAAGTATGTCTTACCATGTAGGATACCGATCGAACACAACCTGCATCCGAGTGACAACCCATATCAAGTTCTTCTTGCACATCTCAGGGGTTGCACCAAAACCTTCTCCAAGCAGCCCAGCACTTTTACAATGATTAATTGCAGTTTCCTGAGGTATATTAATTTAAAAAATCTTATGCAACATAACCACAGGAAAAGCAAGTAATTATAAATTCTAGTTCCTAAAAGAAGTTGTTTAAACATTATATCGAACTGGTGAACCTGCAAATGATTCATTAGCGTTTCTATGGATGCTGTACGATCGGCGCCTATCTCATAAGACCTAATTGCAAAGTTTTGTCGGAAAAAAAGACCATCCTGAACAATCCTCCCAATACCGAAAGGATCAACGAGCATGTCAGGCCGCCTAGGCTTCCAATCAAGCATCATCCACTGTTTCTCAGCAGCCAGGAACATGGTTGTTATAGCAGCAAGAAGCATGCTCCAATCAGGTAACTGATTGATAAATGTCCGGGCAGGAGGGGAGCTCGCACCATCTTCATTCTTGTAACTTTCAACCGGAGAAGTCACAACAGAGGTACCATTTATCTTAGGAGGGGCTTGAGCATTTGCCTTGACTTGCAAACTTCCAGAAGAAGCAGAGTGTTTCGACTTGATACAGCCAATGTTAGTAAATCCACTTCCAAGCTTCTTGTTTTTCGAGTCAGAGGAGACCGGGGAAGAAGTTATGGGAAAAAACGAGGACGTAACAGCAGTAGCAACCATGATTTTGAAAATTAATAATAACTATTATCCACTATAATTCCCTCTTTTGGAATCGAGCTTTTTAGAAAGGCAGCTGATGAATGCTCCAACTGTTTCAATAAATGATAATGAATCAGAATATTTCCAACAAACGCATTAACAAATTCAGATTATCACAAAATCCTCAAATTTTGGCTTTGAATGTTACCTATATAATATTTCAACAAAAAAATAGCATGCAGCATACAATTTAGATTTCTCCATAATTGAACTGAAAACAGAGAAAAAAGTTTAAAAATAATCAAAAGAATTCTTCATTTCCGGAAAGCTGTTAGAAAGGAAGGATTTAACAGAGGCTTGAAAGAAACTATAATGTCCCAATCTTCTTTTAGAAAAACACGGTATTTAACATAGAAAGTCGCTGTAAATATGATACAACTCCTCCTAATTAGCGACGAAGATATGTCTTCAAAAGGAAGCGGAATGAGGGAGAAAACGAAGCAGATCTAAGCTATAAAAGTTTCAAAAATAGAAAAGAATGAGATAGAAAAATAGCAAACAAATCATAAACACGTTTCAGCTTCCTGTGCACAGCTGAACATTCTATCGACGATCTTTTTCATCTCCCAACTCCGTTTCAAGAGAAAATTAAAATTAACAACACAGAAATAACACAGAAATGGAAACGAGAAAATCTTAGATCTCTCATGACTGCCACCATTACTCAACACCTATACATAAAAACAAAATAGACATCCAAACAGAGCAGCAACATTTCCACTAGAAAAAGTAGAAAAATACAAAATGAGAATAAATTTTTAAAAAATAAAAAAACAACCAAAGCTTCCACGTCCGTACCTTCGAGCGAAAAACAAAATGGCGAATCAGTGAAGGAAAATTTTCTCGAGAAAACTATAGCGTTATTTAGGATCTGCAAAAACTTGTGGGTCTTCTACGGCTTGCGATCTACCACGAATTTTCCCTTCCTCTCTATCCCTCTCCTTGCTTTTTGAAATTTCGTTTGGAGTTTCCAAAATCAAGAGAAATGAAGGGAAAATATAAAGAAAAACACCTTCTAATTTTTAAATTATTTTTAAGTTTTAGGAGAGAAGAGAGTATTAAGGGGATGCCAGCGGTTTAATGCATTTGTAGAGAAGTAGAGTCCTTTTATAGTATACATCTGTCTGTTCCTCCCGCCTGTCTTTCTTTTTCATTTCCCCCATTTTATAAACAGTATTTTACTTATTTACTCTTTTGTCCTTTTTAAATTTATCTTTTTCCTTTATTAATCACAATTTATTGCTGACAAAAATGGTTGAGAATTTGAAAAATAAGTTGGGTTAATTGTTCATTTACATATTATGATTTCTATATTATGATTTAATAATTTCATTATAATATATAATAAAAAATACCAAAAACTTAGTAAATACTACTATATGACATTTTTTTTGGAAAAAAACCCCTTATTCATGTATTTTGAAAAGAATGTTTCCCAATTTTTAGCATGACATGACCATGT